GCAGGAATGACTTGATTAGTGAGTCATACAAGCTTTTGCCCTCACACTGTTAGTTCTAGGTTTAACAGAGAAACTATTATAGGAGTTTCCCATGACCTCAGTGAGCTGTTATACAGAACCAACTTAAAATGTCTTAAATCGCCAGAGTCCTATGATATACTACCTTATACAGGGGGTAACATCTAGGAAATAAACCCATATATTCGAATAGGGGAAATTAGATATCAGTAATTGACAGTGTATGACATGAGCTAGGTTCTAGTGGAAGGGCACACCTGGTTGAAACTTAATACTGTTTCTGCAGGAATAGAAATAAACAGATAACAAAAGAAAAAGAGTCTGGGAAGAACTGTTGATGCCTGAGATTTGGAATTTTTGAATTCCCCAGGTAATTTAAATAAGAAAAAAAGAAGACTTTCTAACTGATATTTGGGAGCCAATGAAATAACAGAGCTTTCTGAGTCAAATTTACAGTATAAAAATCTGTAGCAGGAAAGGAGTTTACTTTCGGATAGGAGCCTCATGAAAATTAAACAAAAAGAAAGGACTATAATCAAGGTAGCTTAGCTCGGCCCATCTCAAACAGGAAAGAAGGACCTCCCCAACTGTTCAAAGCAGAAGTCAGTCTTTTGCATCTACTAATAAAACTATTATAAAAGTAAGAAAAGACACTTATTTAAGACAAAGAGCAGGACAAATCCAGAATATGTGAAAGAAAGACAATTATATATAAGAATTTAGTCAACTAGTTGAGAGCTCTTATTTTGACCACAAAGAATTTTAGACAATAGCAGGGTTGAACGTGTCAAAAGAACAAGGGGAGAAAGTTAAGAAAGAAAGTTTTGAATTTGTTACTAAAAGGTCAAAGATATAGATAAAATGGGAACTAAAGAAAGTGAGAAAAAGGAAAAGAAAAGAAAAGAAAAAATAACCCCATTGAAATTATTCTCAGTTTAAACATTTGGATAGTTTCAGGTAATAGTACCGGAATCAGATTTAAATCACACAGGATCCATATGAATGCATGTCCTTCGTATATGAAGGTATCGGCCTCTCACTCCAGGGTTTTGTAGTCTCCTGCAGAGATTAGATAGATAGTAAATTCCCTCATGCTATGCTAAACTGTAGTTCCCACTCGAAAGTAAATTTTATGCCTTAGGATTCACAATTCACATACACCTTCTTCATTAATATAACTTAATGAATTAGAATAGTGTTTCTCAAAGTGGTTCACGAACCTGTAGCAGCAGCATCACCTCAGACCTACGAGGCCCTAGAACTACCCAATGAGAAACTTTAGAGGTGGGATCAACCATCTACGCTTTGTAACAGGACATTCAGGTGATTCTCATGAACACTAAAGCTTGTCATCTGGTCTGGAGATACAGAAACTGATATGCAAACTGGAAATACTTTCTAAAACTAAAATTTCCCCCCAAAGATGCTGTAGATGGGAAAATAAAAGATGCCTACAACTGACTTGAAAGGCATGGTAAGACTTTATAAAATGGTAACAAGTTTCTACTGAAACACATTTGTGTTCTTTAGATGAAGAAAGAAAAATGTGAAGGGGAAAGAGAAATTGAACAAAGTGAAAACAAAAGGGAGGGGAACATATGGAAGAGAGAGAAACTAGGTATAAAGGGAGAAATAAGACAGATGGGAAGAATTTAGATAGAGGGAAGTAAAACCATTAGAGTGGGGAAACAAGAGAGGTGAAGTTAGGAATATGGGCATTAATTCTAAACTCCTTCCAAATATTCTTTCAGTGAAAAATATTCATTCCTGAAAAAATTCTGACATACCAGATCCTTTATAATTCACTATGTGGCACATTTAGAAGTAGAACCAGCTATTGCAAAATAAGGAAACTGTTAGGGTAATTTTTAATAATTCAGTGCAAAGAGACAGACCTTTTAGAACATATAGGCCTTGCTAATAATATGGGTTTACCAGACTTATACTAGGTTCAATATGAAATGTAAAAAAAATCATATTTTCTATCCCTAACTTGGGAAATGGGTCGTATCAATGTTATACTATGCATCAGTGGTAAATGTATGTATATATGTGGTATAACTGTATGGATAGTGTGTGTGTGTTATATATATATATATATATAAAATGATCATTGAATGTACAACCAATACACAGTCATGATACATAATATGATAGATTTCTCATTGATTATATGTGTACAGATACAAATGTATATATACATACAGATTACACATCAAATATCAAATTATACTTTCTCTTATTAACAATATATTTGAAAATTAAGCTAACTCAGCATTTTATTTGTGTCTTAAATTTATGTATGTACTAATTTTTGGAAGATATTATATGTTATAAAATCAATATCTATTTTTCTGTAAGACATCACCTATATTTTAATTATGCTAGCACCATTTGTGCTGTTTTTTTTTTTTTTTTAATTTGGAACAAGATTGAATGTGAGTAATGCAACAAACTTTTTGGCAAGTTTACCAAATGTGTATGCAAATGCATTTTTTTTCTGTAAAAAACTAATCTGGGTGGACATGTATTTATTCCGATGAAATCACTATTTTCATTTTGGAGACTTATCTTTTTAAATTGCCTCCAAAATCTTCAACATATTACTTGAAATGCCAAAGCATAAAAATATTTTTATGTTAAGATGAAAATCTAAATAACTTTTAGAATTGGGTCTGTTTAATAAAATGGGATACAAAAGTGGGTAAAATATTTTTAAAATGATTTAATTTAAAGTTTAGGTGTGATTTATAAGTGACAATGTACTTTTTTTGTGTGGCCTCTGTACTATTTTTATAAAGCAGTGATAATAAAAAAGTTTTGAAATGATTATAAATATCACTTCAATGTAAGGGCAAGCATAAAATTTCAAGTAACATAAATTTGATGCTTAACTTCTGATAATTTACATTAAAACTGCAGTGCTACATTAGCTACTTCTTGTCTCACGCATACGACATTATAGAGTATTTAGTATATTTGTGATTTTTTTTTAAACCTTATTAAGGTTAGGTGCTTAAACTGACCCTGATAATACTAAAACCAATGTTTTATTCTTAAACTTTTGAAAGGCTGGCACTTACTGTAGTTCTATAGCTAAAGAGAAGGTTGAAGTGCAGTATTGAAGCAGTTGAGGGAAAGTTATTGGGAGGTTATGGTTGCCTGTTTTTCTTTGCAGACCTCTGACATATACCATTACATTCTCCCTGGCTTAGCCTGGCCTTATTAGCCTCACTCATCTGCATGAGCAAGGATGTGAAGTCAGCAATTAAATTGCCCCAAGAAGCAATCCTGTTATTCAAGTGAAGGCAATCTTTACTTTGCTAAATGAGAAAGCATGCTACAATACTAATCATTAGACACATTTGAGACATATCAAATAAATGTATTAACAACATTATCCACTAGAGATTTTGATTTTTTCAGAAAATACTTGCCTGTAAATCCTGGCACACACTTGCAGAAGAAAGGTCCACTTAAATGTATACTGCTTGCTCCATTTGTGCAGGGCACAGATTTACAATCTTCGGTTTCTATTTCGCAGATGTTTCTTTCATATCTTTGCAGACAGCTACAGTTACAATTGTGCAAATGGGACAGGCAGAGTCTATGCAATGAGGTACTCTGGATTTCTAAGCAATATTCACAATTGGCAATACAGAATCTGCCGATGTAACTAAGTGAACAGCTGCATCTGAAACATACAAAAAAAAAAAGAACTTCATTAGTCATATATTTTACTTTGATATAGTCAAGTATTTAAGTCACATGTTTATTTAACTACACAGACACAGTTATATAAGAAAGATGATGGTTGGGCACACCTTAAAAATATTCTCATAAAAAGTGTCTATTTTAGACAGAAAATGATTTCACTCTTTGTGCATTGTGAGTGAAAAGAACTGTGGTGCCAAGTAGATTTGAGTTCAAATATGTTTTCTGCTTAAAGAAGGATATACCATAAACTCTGATGGTGCTAAATGACAGGAAGCGTGTGGGTTGAATGTGGGTATGTATGCATATGCAGGTGTACCTTAGAAATGTTGTGAATTTAGTTATAGACCACGGAAATAAAGCAAACATCACAATAAAGTGAGTCACAAGAATGTTCTGTTTATCAGTGCATATAAAAGTTACATTTACACTATATTGTCATCGATTAACTATGCAATAGCACTATGTCTAAAAAAGTAGATATCATCATAAAATTCTTTATTGCTAAAATATGATAATGATGACTAAACCATCAGCAAGCTGTAATCTTTTTTGCTGATAGAAGGTTTTGCTTTGATGTCAAAGGCTGCCTACTAATGGAGGTGGTGGTTACTGAAGGCTGGAGTGGCTTTGATTGTTTCTTAAAATAAGAAAACAATGAAGCAGGTCATGTCAATGGACTCTTCCTTTCATGAAATACTGTACTGTAACAGCGATGCTGTATGATAGCATTTTACTCCCAGTAGAAATTCTTTAAAATTAGAGTCGATCCCATCGAACCCTTCCATTCTCTCATCAGCTAAGTTTATGTATTGCTCTAAATTCTTTGTTTTCATTTCAACAGTGTTCTCGGACTTCACCACAAATAGATTGTGTGTTAAGAAATCACTTTCTTTGCTCAGCTACCTGAAGTAGCTGTTCATCTATTAATGTTTTATCATGAGGGTTGCATCATTTCAGCTGCATCTTCAGGCTCTACTTCTTATTCTAGTTCCCTTGACATTTCTACCACATCTCCAATTATTTCCACTAGTGAAGATTTGAGTCTTTCAGTCAGTCACGATGGTCATAATACATTTTTTTCCAGATTTCTGCTAATATTGATATTTTGACCTCCTTCCACAAATCAGATATTCTTAATGGCACCTACAAAAGTGAATCCTTTTCAGAATGTTTTCAGTTGACTTTTCCCAAATTTATCAAAGGTGTCACTGTCTATGAATGCTACAGTCTTGCTAAACACATTTCACAAATAGTAAGGCTTGAAAGTCAAAGTTACTCCTTGATTCATGGGTGGCAGAATGAACGTTGTGTGAGCAGGCATGAAAACAACATTAATATCCTTGTACATTTCCATTAGAGCTCTCGGGTAATGAGGTCCATTGTAAATGTACAATAACATTGTGAATGGGATCTTTATTTCCAAGCAGTAAGTCTCAAAAACGGATTTAAAATATTCAGTAAATAGTATAGTAAAGAGATATATTGTCATCCAGACTTGTTCATTTATAGATTACAGGCAGACTAGATTTCACAAAATCCTTAAGGGTTCAGAGAGTTTTGGTAAATGAGTATTGGCTCCAACTTAAATTAACCAGCTACATTAACTTATTACAAGAGAGTCAGCCTGCCCTTTGAAGTCAGTCATGGACTTTTTCTCTCTTGCTATTAAAGTTTTAGATGATATCATCTTCCAATATAAGATTCTGTCACCTACATTAAAAGTTTATTGTTTACTGTAGTCATTTTATCTATAGTCTTGGCTATATCTTTTTGATAACTTGATACGGTTTTTAATTCAGCATTGTTGCTTCACCTTGCACTTTTCAGGTTATGAAGACAGCCTCCTTCCTTAAACCTCATGTAAACGCTCTTCGCATCAAACTTCTCTTCTGTAGCTTCCTCACCTTTATCAGCCTTTGTAGAATTAAAGAAAGTTAAGGGTTCACTCCAGATTAGGCTTTTGCACAAGCATGTATTGTGGTGGGTTTGATCTTCTATCCAGATCACTAATATTTTTCCACACCTGCAATAAGGCTGTTTTGCTTTCTTATTTTATTTGTGTTCACTGGAGTAGCAATAATTTCCTTCAAGAACTTTTCCTTTTCATTCCCAACTTTATTGACTGGCATAAGATGTCTGCTTTCTGTATATCTCAGCTTTTGACATGCCTCCATCCCTAAGCTTATTTATAACTTTTTATTTAAAATGAGAAATGTGAGACTCTTCCTCTCACTTGAACACTTAGAAGCCATCATAGGGTTATTCATAAGCATAACTTCAATATTATTGACTCTCTGGGGGGCCCATAGAGAGGAGAAGAGATGGGCAATAGTCAGCAGAGCAATTAGACATACACATTTATGGTAAGTTCACCATCTTACAGCAGTGTGATTTGTAATGCCCCCCAAATTAAAATAGTAATATCAAAGGTCATCGTTTGCAGATCAACATAAGAGGTATAATAATAATAATATAATAATAAAAAGTTTGATGTATTGTAATAATTACAAAGAGTAATCCAGTTACATGACTTATATACACACTGTTGGAAAATGGAGAGACTTGCTCAATGCTGAGTTGCTACAAACTTTCAATTTGTAAAAACTACATTATTTGTGAAGCACAATAGAATGAAGCACAATAAAATGAGGAATGCTTGTACCATGCATGTAATAGATGACTGGAAATTGATTTCTCAGGACAATTATCCATCAAACACATATCTAAAGGGAAATTGCAAATATCCTTTAGGTTAATTTTTAAATTTCATAATAGCTTTATATTTATTTATTTATTTATTTGTTTATTTATTTGTTTTTGCCATAGGACACTGGAGAGGGACCGACACCGTGAGGGAAAGTGAGAGATCACCCCTCATTGGGGATGACCAGTCCACACTCCGTTCAACATTTTTTTCTTGGGATTTTGGACATGCAAGCACATGTGCCCTGTGCACCAGGTCCAGTAATCAAAATGGCAGTTGGCCACATAGGAGTCCAGTGCCTTAGCCACTACGTCACTAGCAGGCCCCAATACTCTTAAGTTTTAATTAATCTTATCCTGGAATACATTAATACAAACATAAACTCATACTTAAAAATTTTAAAGTACATATTTTGGGCTGGCTCCTTGGCCTGGTGGTTAAGGCAAGAAGATCTCACATGGTTGATCATACGGTTTGAGTCCCAGACCCGTTGGTTTGAGAAACAATCCAGACAAATGTACATGAGAGTCCATAATCTTGTAAGAAGGAAGAGATGGAGGGAAAGGGGTTGTGGCAAGATCACATGCCATGGACGATGCTTTCTCCTCTTTCTGTCCTTCTTTGGTGAGTGCACAAACCTTCTAGCCAAAAAAAAGTTAATGCATGTTTAAAATCTCGATGTGACTTTGCTTCTATAATGTACTTACAAAATTAATTAATTCCTATAGTAATTTAAATTTTTCCATGATATTTTCTAATAGTTGTTGATATCATTGTAATTGAAAGTATTTGTGAAATATCATCCATATTTATGTAAATTTTATTTGAAAATATTTTTAGGTATAATATTGAGATCCTGATTGCCTATCACAAAAACAAGAAGATTTTCTGGACTGAAAGTGGCATGAATTTTCCACTTTTTTCTTCATTACACACACACACACACACACACACACACACACACACATACACACATACAAACACACATACACAAACCTTCTCAGTACCTCATTTAATTATGTAGTCATTAGACATTGAACTAATTTTCTTGGGCTCGTTCCTTAAATGATATAGATTATGAAATGACATTTTAATGTAGCCATACATTATAAAATAAATTCATACCTATTCCTTTGATTAAAGGAAAAATTGCACATGGGACCACTTATGGTGTCATGGTTACATTCCTGGCATCCCACGTAGTCAACCGCAATTCGAAGCCCGAATCTAGTGACTTAAAACTCAGGCTGAGTGAGTGTGTGTGTGTGTGCACCCAAGATCCAAAGAGGGGAATGGAGGAGAAGAGATTATAGTGTGACCATTCCCCCGGGAGTGATTTCTTACTTTCTGTCTCTCTGTCTCTCTGGCCAGCGCACATGCCCTATAGCAAAAATATCTCCTAAAAATTGTTTTAAAAAATGACATTGCACATCCACAAATTGAAAAAGAAAGCATGAGGTAAAAAAGAAATAACAAAGTAAAGTATTATGATTTTCAAGTATCTTTTAGCAAGTGTTCAAAGGCCACATAATTAGCATATAAACATGCGAATGAGTTGAGAAGAGCAATGTCAAATCACTTTGCTTGTAATTATTAATGAAAATTAACCTCCTGAACCTAAGTCATTGCACTTGTGAATGTATATGATGGAAGTGTTTGGTGCCAGCAAAAATGTTCAAGGTCAATTAGTTGAAGGCTGTCTTCTTTTAGCTGTGAAAATCGTAGCTGTTTTATGCACTTTGCCAAAGATCAGCAAGATTGTTAATGATATAGGCAGGATGGTAGATGGTTTGATGTATTCAAAGCAATAGCCTCAGAGAAAGAAACTTGGTTCTAATTCTCTCACTCATTTGATAAATATGTATGTATGCCCTGATTTCCTCATCAGTAAAATCTTAAATTGTACATTTTTATTTCATGGAAGAGGATTAAATGTATTTCTTTCTGGGCTAGGAACTCTGTTGTCTACTCTATCAAACACTCTTACAACAGAGTTGCCTAAAATAAAGTGGTAGAACTTAATTATTTGCCTTGTATAAAATCCTCCTGCCATTGTAACTAGAGTAATTGGAAATAACTGCCACATGACACACACACACATACACACACACACACACACACACACACACACATATATATATATATATATATATATATTTCAGATTAGTTTTAGCCATATTCTTGTAGATTACTTATTAGCAGTGCTCGTTCATTTTCTAAAGTGTTTAGGAAGGGGTGATTAGCTGTATGGTGCCCTATGCGAAATGCCAAGG